CTTAGGACAGTATACACTGTATACTATACTCAACTGCATTTTGTTTAATATTATGTTAGGCTTGCTGATGACTAAAAGCCCCACCCTGAAAAGGAAACGAGACACACCCTTTCTCTAAGGTACTCAGTAATTAAAAAAGAAATAGAAACCTTTTTGTTCTTTTTTCTTCTATACTGATTTTGGTAATGCTATATAATGGTAGTTAGGAGAGATTCTTTGATAGCCGAATCGGGTAATCCTTCATATTAAGGCCACAGAGAAATATGTCCGTCATACAAAGCGGTCGAAGAAGAATGTCTAGTGATGAGATTGGTGTATTTACGTGTGATGAATGCGTTCAATAAAACTGCTTTATAAATAGTCCTGAATAAATAATAAAGTCCTGAATCATCTCCCTACTGGGAGATTAGTATGGAAGTCAGTATAAAGTTTTATCAGCCACGCCCATTTTTTAGTAATAAGTTTAGTACTTTAGTGGTTTCCTAAATGTTAAAATCCGAATAATTATAAAGACATCATTGGCCGTAACTAAATATTTTATGATATTAAACAGGCAAGAGAATAAACAAAAAAATAAATAAATAAATAAAAGCAACGAGGGTCGATCAAAAAACTCTAAGCCAAACCCAGAAAGAAGAGCCACAGCTGAACATTTTTGTTGTGGCAACAATCTACTACTTTTATAAAACTAGAAAAAAACTAATTCAGATTTCTGTCTTAATTTCTATGTAGGTGAGGCCCATAAAAATGTGTGAGGTGTACGACAGATCCAAATATGGACATAACAGAGGCCGGGGCAGTCATAAAATATCTGCAAAAGAAAGGTATGACACCCAAGGAAATCCATGAGGACATGGGACAGACACTTACTGAGGGCTCTCCTTTCCATGCAACTGTGAAGAAGCGAGCTGCGAAATACAAGCGGGGCAGGGACAACACAGAATTTGACCCTCGGTCAGGTCCTCCAAAAACCTCACCTGATGAATAAGTTGATGCCATTCACCGTATGATCTTGGATGACATCCGTCTCACTGTCCAGCAGATAGTAAAGTCCATAGGCATTAGTTCTGATTCGGTTCATACTATTTTAACTGAGATCTTTGTGATAAACAAAATGTCTGCAAGATGGGTTCCAAGAATTCTGACGCCAGAGCAGAAGATGAAAAAGGTTGACATTTCCAGAATACTTCTGACTCGCTTTCAGATTGACCCTGAGAATTTCTACCGCAGATTAGTAGCTAAAGATGAAACCTGGGTTCACGACTTCGAACCTGAAACAAAGATTCAACGCAAACACTAGAAACACTTTGGTTCTAAGTTCAAGCAAGCAGCGTCTGTTGGCAAGGCGTTGGTTTCTATTTTGGTGGTGGTGGTGGTGGTGATTCTGAAGCTGAATTTAATACACTATCTGGAAAAGGGAAAATTATTAATGGACAGTACTATGCATCAGAATTAAGACAACTGCAGTAAGCGATCAAGTCGAAACAGAGAGAAGTTGAGGGCAGGTGTCCACTTGCTCCATGATAACGCACCCGTTCACAATGCTCAGGTTGCAGTATCTGAAGCAGCCAACTTAGAATTGTTACTCCATTCACCTTATTCATCAAACTTAGATCCATTTGACTTCTTCCTGTTTCTTATTCAAATCCCGTTTGGGTCTGGAATCCTAAACATGTCTTCTCCAGACTCAGTAGTATCTCCATATTATATGTAAAACTCTTCCTTTTTGTTTCTCCTTACACCCTGCTTTTCCGTTTAGATATACGTGATATATTATTTTCTGTGTGGGACACTTGTATATATGGACGTATAGTCTTGTGTATATCTTAGTGATATAAAGGTCTATCTGAGAGAAAAGCATGTCCACCATTCCTTTTCCTTTTAGCCACTCCGTTCCGTCCTTGTTAACCACAGGTATAAACCCACGCTGGTCAATATCAATGCTAGTCCAAGCTGGCTGTTGATCTCTGGTCGTTTCGATCCACACTCACTCTGCCCATGTTGTATTCTTGATCACAGAGCAGTGAAAGATCGAATGTTGTAGTAATCGAAGCGCTGGGCCGAACCGTGGCGGAAACTATATTAAGGGAAGAAATATCTTCACAAACGAAAAATAAAAACGTAAGATTCGTTGGGTTAATCTTCAACTGGTTTTTGTAATTCTTGGTACAATAAAAATTAACCCTTCGCGCATCAATCTCTGTAGTGACGCTGGGCCTTGTCAAAAAATTCTGGAGGATTTGCGTTCAAAAATCTTCAGAGTCAGGAGATATGGTGACTAAATTATGTGGATTTCAGAAGCACAGATGCAAGAATTCGCCGCGCAAGTCTCGAGCTCTTAAAGCTGTTTGCTTATATGCACTTCGACCCCAAACCGGCGTGATACTGATGTGTCTTGGGGGTTTGGGGATTCCTCAATTATCGCATTAATTCCAACAAGAATTATTTGTTCCCTATTTCCGCTTTCTTAATCAACTTTCCAAATTTGGAGAATTATCCACCTTACTTGGGAGTAGTCACAGGGATCGCTCCTCCTCTCAACTCCAACTAGCTTCACTTTACATCTCGTACTATCATTCCATACAGGTAGTGCTAAATTATGAGGGTACTGGGTTGGCAGTTTTCTGGCTGCTGCATCCCGACTGGTAGTAAGGAGTCCGAACTCTTTGGCAGCACTCGGAGAGGCTGGTCTGGTCAACAGTCACATATTATCGAGGTATGTTCAGTGCTATGGATAGGAGTCCCTGCATGTATTTGCGGTGGGCAACCCAGACGTCACATTATGCTTTAGTTTCAGCCTCCTTCTGACCTGTTTGTATTGCCATAGACGATGGACAGTGATAATTATTTTAGCCTTTTTCTCTTCTTTTATTATGACAATTATAATTCTTGTTCTTTTCTTCTTCTTTTTTCTTGGTAATGTTTTCTTTTTCTTATATTCTTTCACACTCAGTAACCCATGGATCTTAGTGGCTTTATTGCCTTGTTTGGGGTGAAATGATTAAAGAGGTAGACGTTGGTCCGGTTTACATATAGTAAAAAAGGTAGACATAAGCTTAGTTCACACAAAAGGTAGACTCAGGCAAACTTTTAAACGAGAGACAGAAAGTTCAGTTTACACTAGACTAAAGTTTACACTATAGTAAAAAATAGTAGACATAGATATGATTTATGTAATAACAAAGTACGCAGATGTAGGCTTTAAGAAAGCTTTATTCAACTGAGAATACAAGGCTCGCGTATAGTGTCCTTTTACAGTCCCAGGAAACAGAAATAGCTTCTCAAAGAGGAAACAAGGGGAGACCATTTTTGGTTCTCGATAGACAGTGGTTGCAGGGAAAACAACATGATCAACATGCAAAGGATCTCTCCAAACTTAGCACAGGACAACTGGTGCGAGTACAAGTACAGGATACGAGGAAGTGGACTCCATCTGTGGCCAGACAAGTCTGCACTGAACCACGATAATACATCATTGAAACCCCAACAGGACAGGTTCTTCGCAGAAACCGTAGGCATCTCAAGGAAGATGTTAGCAACAAGGTACTGACGTCTCCCCATAGTACGTCCCTGCCTCACTCTGAGCCTCCAGCCCCTAATATTCCAAATACACCTCCTGCAGGTACACCCAACACACCCTCCAACATCTGCACTCCATCTAAAGCAACACTCAGACCTGCACATAACGCAGCCTAGTGGCATCACACCAACAGAAACAATCACTAGATCTGGTCGTATCATAAAGCCTCCCCCAAAATACAACTTATAGAAACAGTTCATATAAAGTCTTTATTTCAGTGAACAATTCTTATAATGAAAGGCGGATGTCATGACATGAGTGAGTTACCTTCCCTGGATAGCCAGTTACTTCCTTGAATAAAAGAGGTCGCTTTGTTTTCAGGGCAGAGCGTTTCTTCCCTTCATGTCCATAACAATGCCACCATGTTATGGTATTTGTTAGTAGAAATAACAGTAAAGAACAAGAGAGAACGACAAGATATGTTAAACTTACAAGGGAGGAAACGCTCGGCCCTGAAAACAAAGCGACCTCTTTTATTCAAGGAAGTAACTGGCTATCCAGGGAAGGTAACTCATCTCATGACAGGGGAGACCATTCTTGATTATTCATAACATTAACAATTTACACTAAAGTCAAGAAGGTAGTCAAAGGTTGAGTTTACACAAGATTCAAACGAGTAGACATGGGTCCAGTTGATACTCGAGTGAAAAAGATGGACATAAGTTCAGTTTAAATTGGTAAAAAAGGTAGACATAACTGTTATAGACAAGCGTACGGTTGCAAGAAAGAAATACGACAACAGCAGAAATAGATTTACGTGATTTACTTCAATAGGAACGTGTGGATTTGGGACAGCTACCTTGTGGTATAGCTCATAAGCCGGCTTCCGATCTTGGTTGATTTCTCATAGTAGTTCTCACTGGTTGCCGTGGTGCTCCTCCTGCTGCTGACTGCTCAGACTGACCGTGATAGATATCTTCCCTGACCTCCTGTTGACGATATTCAGTCACCCCCCACGAGGACGTCATGTGGCACAAGGCCTTTTTAACGTGGGATTTCCGAGCCCGTGGGCTCAGCCCCAAAATATGCCCATTGAACCCGTATAAACGGGTTCAGGGCCACCCGTTGACTGCTGGTACTTCCCCGTGTGACCCCTTTTATGGGGTTTGTTATGGCTTAACAGGCTCGAAAAACGACGCGTGTGTAATTAGGAGGGAAGCATTTTTATTGGTCGAAAAATAGAAACACTTTAAAATATTATTTTATTTTTCGACCGGAACTTGTGCGCCGGGCCTATGCGCAAACGACGATAATGGTCATTTTGTGACGGTGCCTTGTCTCGTTCACATCCGGCTCTCGCTCTTGAGTATGTTAGTTTATTTGCCTGCAAATCAGCCGAAATATATCTTATTTTATAACATAACAAATCTATGTTGCTTCAGCTAACATATCGGTAAACTCTTACGCATATCGGCTCAAGGTCTTATCACTTTGAAAGACCGCTTCCCATATGATCACTGAAGTGAAGCAACGTCGAGTCTGGTCAGTGCTTAGATGGGTGACAGCTTGGGAATACCAGGTGCTGTAAGCATGGATGTGCGGGTGGTGTAACGGATAGCAACTTGATATTGAAAATCGGAGAGCCAAATTCCAATATCAGTCGGGTTCAGTATATTCATTTCCGCGCAAATACTTTTGGAGAAGGTATAAATGCACCTCTTCTTTCACCAATCTATGGGTTAATTAGTAGGACTTGAATCAGTAAATCATTATTATCTCAAATATTCTTACAATCTAAAAATATTTTCTGGCATTAAATAACCCCCAAAAGGTTGATAAACCGTAAAAGATTCCCTCTTCCGCACATCATAACAAACTTGTCAAATGGTTGTCACAACTCAAGAAAGAACTGTTTTTCTAGTCATTCACTACTGTCTTTGTCATCTGCTTTTTTTTAAAAAGCATTTCACCCCAAGCAAGGCAGGAGTGCCACTAGTATACAGGGGCTTACGAAAACTGAAAGTAAGAGAAGAGAGTGGGTTTAGGAGGGGTTGAGGAAAGGAAGAAAAGGACAGGGATCAAAGCAACAGAAGGTGGCGATGTTGCATTTAAATTTTTTGAAGATTGTAGTTATCAAGGAAGCAAGTGAGAGGAAGGAAGTTCCAAAGTCGGAAAATACGAGAAAAGAAACTGCTGGAGTCGAAGTGGCGGTTACATTTAACTATTTCAACGGTAAATGGGTGGGACCTAAATGCCAATCTAGTAGCACGTTTAAAATTCAAGTAGTCGTATCACCAGGGAAAAAAAGTTCGTCATAAAAATAGCCATAAAAACATTTGTAGAAAAGACAGCCATAAAAATATTTGTAGAAAAGAGAGAGGGAAGCCACGTCACATCGGTGAGAAAGTGATTGAAGTCGAGAAGCCAATTCAGGACCGATTACATTATAAATCATTCTTTGGATCTTGCCGAGGACCTCTAGATAAACGGCAGGTGCACCAGACCAGATATGACAACAACAGTATTCAATGCAACTATTGGGGGCGCATTTAACTTAAAAGTTCTACTTCACTATCAGTGGAATTATTAAATTGTCTACTATATGATTACTCATCACAGATAAAAGAAAGAAAATGTCTGGGTTTTCAATGATGCGAAAAATAAAGGTATGTCGGAGTTAGCTCCTCCTCAACTCCTTAACCCTTCACCAGGGGTCTCTCTCCCTTGGTTATAAATACTGGCTGACCCTTTGCCTCTACCTCTTTTTTTCCTCAGGCCTTCAGTCTTACCACTTCGCAGATGTGAACGTTCACAGATACAGCGTTTCCCAAATGCTGGGAACACGCTAAGAACAATACACGTACGTACGAACACTCACCACACACACACACATAATATTCACCACACGCACTCTGTCCATGTAACTGTCCATGTAACAGAACTTGTAACCTTTGTTATTAATACATATATTTGTTTACATATATTTATCGGTCTTGTTTGTTTTTCTTTGGACTTAATTTAAGTCCAACTTTCTCATGTAGTTGGACCGGCTAGCAGGAAATTCTATCCAGATGTGTTCTTTTACAATACATACACATCACCGCCACGGTCCGCTACAGGCGTAACCGTTATCGGCACAAAAAAAAAAAAAAAAAAAGAAAAAGACTCGTCGTGATGCGTTCAGATTGCAACCTCGTCTGTTGCATTTACCTTCGCAGAAATGCACTTCAGAAAAGCATGACGCAATCTCTTCTCCTCCAGCAAGGTGAGTTAAATCGCAGCGTAAATTGGGTTATCTCGCCTTGAGTGGCAGCCAGTCTAGAAGGAAAACATTGAATCCAAAACCTCAGAGGAGGAGACAACGGGAAACCACTTTTCACTGTCACGGTAATTCCCGGATAATAAAGAAACGGGAAATTTATCCCGGTTCGTAACTAAATTATTTAACTCATGTTGTTTATTGTCTGTTATTAGTTAACCATTTCTTTTCTTTTTTCTTTTAGAGTGACTATGTAAAAAAAAAAAAAAAAAGTTTTCAAAGGGAGGTAATTACGATCACATATTTTTTACAATACTTTCGCGATTAATAGTTATTGATATTCTGACAAATCTGTTACTTTTTATAAGATTCTCCCTGTAAATATATTATTGATCTTTCTCATTTAAAAGAGTTGCCGAGTGAAAATACGTTCTATTCAATCTGTAACTGTTTTGAAAACCGTTTCGGACCATGTTTCAGTAAAAAAAATTATTGTAGAGATTAACATTTTTTTTCGATAGACCGGATCTGGGTTTGTTTCCTTTACAATTTTTAAACATTGGCTTGAAATGACTTAATAATATTAGTCCAAAATCACGCCTCCGTTGGAAATAACTGCTCTAAATTCGAATAATGATGTATATTGTAGAATTAATATTGGTTCATTTTTGAAATTCTTCTGTTTTTCCTGAATTTTGGTAAACTAATAAAACTCTTCCTGTTCATATGAAATTTAAGATCTAAATCTCTACATCATAGGATTTTAAATTGACAGGTTTGATATAAGAAACAAGGAAAATAAACCGAGTTATTTTTTAACTTCATATATAATTTCTTGTTCTTATCCGATGTATGTACAAGGTGGTCTGAAAGTCTTGTCACCTGTAATGTTCTATTTCATCAACGCTCCGTGGGGGATTATCATGAAGGAGAGTTTTAAACGAACGATACCAGAATAATACCTATCAGTTGAAGGCTGTCGTTTTGAGAGCCTTTGTAACACTCAAAGCACAGCTATGCCGCATCATTTTGTGCCATGAAAATGATGGTGTTCATCATCCAGACCTTCTCGATGTGTGACAGCGTCAATGAAATCGAATAAGCTGAATTTAGGGCATATGCTTTGTATCGCTTGTTTTATTGTTCTTATTACTTTTTGGTAGAGGTGACAAGACTTTTGGACCACCCCGTGTATTGATGCAGGTGTGGAATTGCATGTCCACAGCAAGACCAAAGAAAAATCCCTTTGTAGATACTGTGTAGACATGAGAAAATGTCTCCATTTCTCTCGATATATATGGATGACTCAAGAAGTATTATGTAGTTTGGGTGTAAGGTGAAATATGCTAAACCTTAGTTAAGTGTCTGTTTTCAATATGGCAAAAACAGGTAGATAAATACAATTTTCATTGTTTTTTTCCTTTTTGAAAGCGGAAGTGACGATTTTTTATAGCCTTTGGTCCAAAACCACTGAAGTTATCTCCCTTGGTTGGCAGTTTGGCTTCTGAGCAAGTAGTCATCATGGCGATTGTACCACCGACCTGGGAGATAAATGAGATGGTTCATGCTATATTTGAGGTTTGAAGACTTTCCATAAAACAATATACTTTTGTTAATTGATTATCCTTTTCACTAACTTTAAAATCGAACTGTTTTACCGTTTCTAGGGCTCCTTAAAAACGTAAAATACCTACGCCTTGAAACTTTGGGCGTGCCATGCTTTTTTTTTCGTTGTGGAGAATTCTTTCTCTATTTTTTAAAAAATTGTTTCTATTTAAAAAAAAAAACGAAACAAAACAAACTATTAATAACAATGTTTTTCTTCTAAAATTTTTGTACGAGTCTAACTTAAAAATACTGGCAAACTTTCGTAAGAGCGAAATGTTTTGAAAACTGTTGATAGTGTTTACCCCCCTCCTCTCCCATTCCCTTTTTTTTCTATTACGTTTTGTTGATAAAGTACGTTTTACGATAAACGTTCTCAGTGTCATTACGGTCGTAGAGACGGTAGTAATAATAAGAAACATCCTGTTTTTTATTACAGAAAATATCGTATTTTCAGTTTATTTTTATTTACGTTTTATAACGGGTGACACTGGAAAAAGGGATATTTTTTTCAATTTTCAATTAACATCATATTCTGGACTAGTTCTTTTTTTTTTTTATAATAATGAAATATAATTTAACTTCATTATCCAATGTCATTTTATTGGACACACAAGTTAAATTATTAATGAATGATACCTGGTGGAATCTGTAGAATCTTTACCTGAGCTCATATACCGGTAATTTTTCTCCTCTCCCAGCAAAAAAAAGGAAAAAAAATTAATTCAATCTTTGTGACAAATAAGTGTAGACTTAAGAAAATAGCTTACTGCGCGCTGTTCATAAAATTTAAAATCTTGTATCTGAAATTTAAAACGGAGTTTAAATTTTTTTAAAAATCCAATTTACTTTTTTTTAATTTAATGAAACTGTAATAGACGTGGTCGATTTGAAAATTCGAATTTTACATTTTTTCTGCCCAAGATTTATTTCCAAAAATGTGTGCTCAGAATATGAGGTTATGTAAAGAAAGGAATAAGGAAGCTAATTCAGTATGCTGAAATGGACGCTTATCTGGAAGATATCCGAATGAATGTTTCGGTTTAAAAAGGGTTGCTTGATCTTCTTACGCCAGGTTAACATTTGTTGGTTATTTAATGTCGAATTTTGTATGTGGCACTCAGTGAGGATCGAACTCACTAGTCAGAAGGAACGGCCTTAACGATTTACCCTACGTCAAGGCGCTTCCGAATAAAAGTTTTTTTCCCCCCAAATGCACTCACATTTCTGAAATTAATAGTTTTGTAACTTTTGTTCACTTAGCAAGTGCGACTTTTCCACTTAGATTAGAAATTAGCGTCGATTACTTTTTCAGCCAACATATACTCTGAGGAAAATGCAAAGGGATGCAGAATAATAGCATCCTGATATTCACTGCACTGCAGTCATTGAAATATTAATTTTGTTTGAAAAGTGGGTCGAACCGACAGCTCTCCTCCTCACCCCAAAGAAAACAACTTCGTAAGCATCGTCGGCAATTGTTTTACCACATTTGAGTACATAAAACAGTCGACTTTGGGGACGCAGTCATGCATATTAACTCGACTGAACGGCATACTAACCATAACCCAATCTTGCCGACTGTATCTTGTTCCACATTAAATTCAGCATTTGAAACGATTTCTACATACCAAACACTGAATTATCTCCCTTGCATTTCCCTAACTTTTTAGAGTATTTAATTTCATTAAATTAAAGAAATTATTAACTATTAAATGTTAAGAATATCTTTTCTCGATAATTAAAAAAATAAACTGGGAGCCAAATTAAATGTCTCCTTTTTACACATAATCTGTGGGGGTGTTAATTAATAACTGTTTTTCTATTATAATTTTCTCTTAAAGGGTGACTCAACGGGTGAAAGGAGTTATCTAAAGTAGTTTGGATGAACCATTAGGAATTGCAATTTTGTAAGGGATCAAATTCCCTTTTAGTTTTAAATGAAAAAAAATTCTTTCACTATTTTTTGGAAGACTGAAAGTTTAAATAATGAAAATAAAGCTATAGGATTTTTTATTTTTTTTTTTTTTGCGCTATTACACTTGGAATGAATTTTTTTTTTAATATCTTTCTAAAAATGGCTGGTTTTAGGCTTTTTTAGCCATATTTACAAATCTCCCAGCTCAACGTAATTCTCATTATTAAAAAAAATCTTTAAAAAATACCATATACTTTTCTTAAACTTTATTTAAGGAAAATTAGCTGATTTAATGCTTAATTAATCTGATGTGAAACAAACATTATGTACAGTTCACAGAAATGCATTTTTTGACATGGAGGTGAATGTGTTTTAAGAGGTGTTGACAATGATAGACTTCTGTTTGGAAATTTATTTTACAGGAGACATATCTGTAAAAATTACTTGAATATAATGCAAGCATCTTTTTTTCTATACTGTTCTAGTTCCACATGCCATGCCTCTTCCAGATGTCTCAGTTATTTCCCTTTAACTCTCTAAGTTTTTGGGTTTGCCACTGCTGTAGCTTGGTATTGAATTCACAGCAATAAAAGATGTTGGTTATATCCAGTGACTAGACGTAAAGAGTTGTGAGTTCAGTTTACAGCAGTGATAAACCAAAAAAACTTGGAGAGTTGAGTTAAAGGGAAATAACAGACATCCGGAAGAGGCATGGCATGTGGAACTAGAACAATCTACCCTGGTGGGCGAAATAAAGGGTTCGGTTCGGAATTCCAGTCACCTGAAGAAGGCCAGAGCGTACAGTGGCCGAAACATTGTGAATATGGCAATGAAGATGAGGATAACAGTTCAAATAATGTAAATGATCATAATACCTCATCTCAGAGATATAGATATGAAATTTATTTAATTTTTAATAAAATATTCTGTTAAGATGAATTTGCTGCTACAGTTAAAACAATGAAATGTACCTATTTTATCTCTGTCTGAATTTCTGGGATGAGAAGTTATCATTATTTAAATTATTTACATGCAAAGTACTATTCTCATCTTTGCTGTTATCACAATGTTTCAGCCATTGTTCCCTCTGGACTTCATCAGTTGTATGTTGATCCAGGTAACCTACAGGGAATTTTGAACTGAACCGTTTATTTAATCTGCATGGAGATAGTGTTCTTGCCCATGTCTCAGGATATCTCGTTCTTATTTTTAGTACTGCTCAGTTATTGCTCGCCCACTGTGTCCAAGCACACATTGATTGCAAAATTTCTCGGTCATCAAATCCATAAACCAACACTTTAATATCGTAGTCTATTGTTCAGTGGGACAATAATTCTTTATAGTTTACGTGGGTCAACATATAGCTGATGAAGGTAGTCCTGGGTGTGGCGATAAAATTGATCTGACAGCAAGACCTCTGACCAGGAGGTTTTGAAGTGTGTGGAACCACCTCTTAATTGCTGATGTCCCCAGGTTCACTGACCTGGGGTGCTAGCACCCGTTAGGGTCCCAACTATGGGCAAATAGTTAACCCCAAAACTAAAATTGGAACACTATGAATCCATTTTTATAGTAAAAATACCAGCATACATTTTCATAGTTAAAAAAAAAAAAAAGTTATGGAGAATCCATTTTTGTATTCAGTTGTGAAAGCAGAGTAACATTTACTTCAAGGGTCCCAAGAAAATTCAATTTTGGCATTAAATGACCCGTAAGATGTGGTATGCCATTAAACAAACTAAGCCTAATGAAGTCTGGAGAGCATAATGGCTGAAATGTTGTCATAGCAACAACAAAGATGAAGACCATAGTCCATATGTAAATAATGTACTTATTTTAATCTTTTATTTTGTATGCATGTATGGGTGGACAATTTTACTGCATTTTTACCCAAAATTTTTACTTTTCCCTTGTTTTTTTTTTTTTACAATTTGGATAAGAGTATTTGCAGTGTAGGTAAACCCTCTACTCTCGAATTCTACAAGTTTTTTATGTTTTTAAATTTTTTTCTTATTTTTAATCCATCACAAATTATTATTCTGACTTTAATAGCACAAAATGATTTCTTTTTACATAAAATTTACAAATAAAAGTAACAAAAATGGTGGATTGTTCTTGTGGATCGGATAGAAATAAATCCAGATGATACTAGCTCAAAAAGCAAATTAAAAAAACGAGTGGAGTAATCAATAGTGGCTCTGATTGAGGAATTGGAGAGCTGAGTTTGAATTCTAGTCCAATTCATTACATTCACTTGTGTCCTAATACCCTTGGGAAAAGTATGAATCCTCTTCTTCTCCCCCCAGCTATGGGTAAATAGCAGGACAGACCGGGTTCTACAGCCTTAGATGGCAACAGGTCTACTGCAGAAAGAAATAGCAACCTACTGCGGGGGGGGGGAATCAACTTTGTCAGTCATGTATCGAAAGATACATGATCGCCTAAGTGTGTATCACGCATGACACATAACTGACTGACTGAGAATAATGCATTGTGTTTGTTTTTATAGAGAACTAAAAACTTATTCTGAGAAGTTATTCTCACTTCTGTTTGAACAAAGAGACTGGCCTTTTCCTATTTCATCTATGGTTAATCTTTTTTTTGTCCAATACACCCTATTCACAATATGTCAGAATGTCATTTCCAGGATTGTCTGACTCAAAAAGCCTATTTCAAATAATATGCGTATATTATTGAAAAATCTTCATTCTTTTCCATATTAGTACATACAGGGAAATGTATATTAGTACATATACATTTACATGGATTATTTTTATAGAAGACTTTTATAAATTTAATAGCAATAAAAGTGTTGATGGATTTTTAAATTTGAATTCATGCACAGTAATTCGTTTTAATTCATAATCAATTATTAAATAAACTGAAGCAGACTTCAATAAATAGAAAGTTCAATAGAATGCCAGGGTATTGGAGTTCATTAAACAAAATTCTGTAAATAAAAAAAGCAAAAAGATTCCCTCTCCCACACTGAAACCCTCCCTGGTTGAGAATCCCTGATCTATAATGTCACCTCACAGAAATGTACTATTTTCAGTTCCTGAGAATGTTTTTTTCTCGGTAAAGAGTTTCAGTCCCAAAATAAGATGTTTAATTACATATTAGATTTTCCACAAAGTTCATGCCAATTTTTAGTCGCTCATGTTCCAACATGTTAGAACACGCCAAATTTATCAACATTTCCTATTAGAGCACACTTCAAACTCTCTCTTGAGGAATAAAGTTTAAAATTACTTGTCAATTTTGCATTCTGATGAAAATGGAAGATTATAGGGTGCATTTTAGACACTTGATGTTTTTTTTTTTTTTTTATAATAAAGGCAAAAATGTCTCACAAACAACAAAAAAGGTATGTGTTTTACCTGACAGAACTGTACGGGAGTGTTTTGCTAAGTTCGGACTTGGTGATTGTATCCTTATTGATGGACAACACTCAGGCAGAAACCTCCACTACAATTGACAACGAAATCAAGACACTGATTGAGAATAACCCGTACTACACAACACAGGAATTGGCAGAAATACTAGCTTTATCTAAATCCACCATCCATGAGCACTTAGTGAAGCTTGGGTTTTCAAATTGCTACAATGTTTGGGTACCACATGATCTGAGTGAAAGGAATCTTTTGGATCACATTTAATCTGTAATTTGCTGTATAAATGCAATGAAAATGCACCCTTTTATATGTAAATTGTGACAGGTGATGAGAAATGGATTATTTACAACAATGTTCAGCAAAAAAGATTCTGGGGTAATCAATATGAGCCGACCTTAGCCACCTCAAAAGCAGCTCTTCATTCTAAGAGAAGTCATGCTGTGCATCTGGTGGGATTGGAAAGGAATTCTGTACTATGAACTTCTGCCAAGTAACCAATCAATTGATTCTGAAAAGTACTGCTTGCAACTGAATGGATTAAAGGCAGCAATTCAAGAAAAACGCCCAGAATTGGTGAACAGGAAATGTGTTGTTTTCCTCACATTTCTTTGGCTACCTGGCAAAAATTGTTGCAGTTTGGCTAGGATGTGTTATCCCACCTGCCATATTCACCAGATATTGCTCTTTTGGATTTTCATTTATTCAGGTCCTTGCAAAATAATCTCAATGGTAAAAATTTTACTTCTTTGGATGACATAAAAAAACACCTTAATGAGTTCTTTACCAAGAAACCAATGAAATTCTAGAAAGATGGAATCTTTAGTTTGAAGGAAAAATGGTTTTATTTAGTTGAATAAATATTTAATGGCATAACTTTTTGTGTTTTAATTTCCCTTAAAAATCGGCATGAACTTTCTGGACAACCTGATATTTTTGCTGCTTTATTTTCAAAATGCTTGTTTTTTATCTACATTTTTCATTGTTCATAAAATAGTTTAGGGAATTTTTAATGGATATGTTTCTACCTGGAAACTGTAATTAGGTATTTTGTTGATGGTCAAGGAACGATTATCTCCCTTATTAAAAAAACTTAATATTTTAATTTTATTAATGTAACGGATTTATAGAAAATTCGTCCTAACCATAAGCTTTTTTGAAAGAAGAAAAAAAAAGAAAAAAATAGTGTGATCACTTTGTTATATTTTTGGAAAGTGAATTAAGTTTGGAGACTTTTAACTTCACCTGTGTTTATATAGGGTTATAAAGGATGCGATGGGTAAATTGTCGCCATTTTATATTAATTTTGCACATGCAGGTTGTTTGTTTTTCTTTTCTTTTTTTTTTTTTTTTTTTTCGACTGCGCAGCATAGTAGGATCAGTAGAGTATAGTCTGTGAGAAAAAAAGCACTATGATGCAATACACTTGCAATCATGATGCCAGAAATGCCCATTCAGTTTCTCATTACTACAAGCTTTGAAGATTGGGGATGTGAGTTGAAGTCCTGATTAAAGCTGCTTTTTCAGGCTACGTCAATGGCTGGAAGGGACCCAATGCAGAACATTATGACTAAAAAGCAGCAATACAAAAACGACAAGCAGAAAACAGATTTTATTTAAATTCAATTGTAGATACAAATGCCTACTTCAAATGTTAGGATGTATACAACTTCGACCATTGTGATAAAAAAGCAACAAGCTGAACAAAAATCCAGTCAAGAATTAACATTTCATGAGTTTCTTTGGTAAGGGCCCCTTCATCTTCCATTACTAAGGCTGCAGTTCCATTCATCTTCTTCACCAGAACTGTCACTCTGGAACAGACTCCTGAGAGGATGCTTCCCTGAGCACTACAATCTTAGCTTCTTTAAGTCTAGAGTTATAGCGAAGAAAACTGTGACTTACCTCATCAAACCAAGCGACAACGTGTCGCGTGTATCCTATGATGGAAAAGAAAATTACTTACGAAAAAAAGGGGCACATGACAAGCTGAAGACGGAATATTTAGATTAAAAACAAGTCTGTCGCAGGAGTCTCTATAAAAGTATTTTGTTATGCAAAATACTTGGCATCATCTCCCAGTTGTCGACGAATGAAAATCTGCTCGGCTGATAAAAGCAGTTGGTGTTCTCGAATCGAAAGGAAAAACTGATGTATTTTGGCTACTGCATTCGTTGGCGAGTGAGTTATTTTTCTGACTGGTTATGTGCTTTGGGATTTGTGAGATAGTACCTGCGAATTGAGTTTTCGGCATTTCTTTCTGCCCCCCAATATTTGAGTAGTCTGAACTTACAGTGATTTGTTCTCTGTGTTGTGGAATTAATCTGTGACAAACATTTCCTTTGCTTTCAGAATGCTTACAAGGGTCTAAGATGTATAATCATAATATGCAGGTCTTTCTGCTCCCCTGCATTCTTACAATTTCATTTACTAACCCTCTACCTTGAGTGGCTCTTGGGCCTTATATTGGGTGAACATATATATATATATATATATATATATATATATATATAAGTGGTAAATATACACATACATATGCAATCATATATCTAAAATATATAAATATATATACATACATATATATTTGAATAAAAAATAAATCCAAGAGGATAGAATCTAGGTAGAACTCAATGTCTGGGACAGAGTAAGGATATAAGAAAAAGGCTTAAACCATGGAATATTAGTGTTTAAGCCTTTTTATTACACACACATTTTATATATATTTATATATATATATATATATATATATATATATATATATATATGACCCTGGTTTATGACGATCCTGACCTACGATGATTCATGGTTATGATGTAATCTCCATTAATCTCATTTTAACTTATGCCATTTTCCTCAAACATAAGTTCCTGCTTGTATGCCATATTGGATTGTAATGCATTCAAATCTCTTTCATTTGTTTGCATTGTGTTAGTGGAAATTTAATTCTCCAAGAAATATTGTTTACCACTTCCTAAAGAGAATTACATCACTTTCATCACTCCAAAAGCAAATCATGTACTAAATGCTTTCAGATTCCAGTAAAAACAACCGAGATTTACATTTTCCCAAACCAAGTAAACACTTTCAGATTCAAATAAATAAAGACTGATTTTGACATAGGGTTGACATGTAAAATCCAATAACCCAACTTGTTCTATGGTATGTGTTTTTTTTCCATTGTTGGGGCATTTTTTTTTTTTTTTTTTTTTTTTTTAACCGAATGATTTCACTGAATACTCAGAGCAGTTTCAGAACTTCTGTTGTTTCTTTCGTGGCTTGCATTTTTTTTTTTTTAATTTATTTTTTTATTTTCTTGTTTCATATCTGAAGCAAACACTTGATTTTTATGTTTTTGCATGGAGGGGAAGAGCTTTGTTAGCTGTGTTCTTTCATTATTTACAGAAAGGATTACATATATTAGATGATGGAATTTGTCCATAATTGTTAAACATTTTATATAATGAGATAAACTATTGAAATCTATAAGAATATGAAAAAAGTTTAAGAATTATCTGAATTTTAAAATTCAGTTGTTAAAATCATTAATTTTAATCCTTTTTCAGGCGCCAACTTACCATTTATTTCTTGAAGCCATCCTGATCATCTGCATTATCAAATTGCTTTTCTCAAAAAGCTACAATCCTGAAAAGACCATTTTGACAGAAAAGGTAAGTCAATGCAGCCATTGGCTGACTGTTGTCAAGTGTGTGTGTTTGGAAAGGGGTTAGCCTTTTTTGGGATATCAAAGAAACCTTTCTCAGGATCAAGTCTTCTGCTTTCATGGTTTTTGTTATTTGGATAATTTTTCTTTTTTTTAATCATTTCATCTCAAGCAAGTCAAATAAAGCCACTAAGACACAACGGGGTTACTGAGAGAAAGAAAATGGAAAGACATTGAGGAGAGAGAATGACAATGTTGGATTTAAATTTTTGAAGGTCAAAGTTGACAGGATAATAAAAATCCGGGAGAGAGTTCCACGAGTGAGAAGTGTGAGAGAAGAAACTGTGAGCATAGAACTTATGGTTACATCCTGCTATTTCAACAGTAGAAACTTCATCTATGAATTTCAGCAATAGTCTACATTTTTGTATCAGTTACAAAGCTAGTATACAGGAGTTGGTCTTGCAACATGCTAGGCAAAGCTCGGGTATGTATGAACCTGGTTAGGAATATTTGTACAAAACATGCAATATATATACTGTACTGTACTGATGCGGCATTCACCCTGGGCGGATTGAGCCGGCTTCTTCCTGTTATGAGAAGAAGATTCTTGGGATAAATTACAGAAGTAGGGTACCCAGGCCTACTCGGATAACGTTCTTGCTTGCCGCGGGGTTCCCACAGACGCAGAGACAGGAAAACGACCAGAGGCCACCGTTACTGATGTAGACGCTCCTTGGATTTTCACCAGAGCCCTTGTTAGCCGGGCGTGTGTGTCAGACCTGTCCGCCTTTGGGTGGCCATACCAGGAACGAAGTTCCGGCAGCATAACTCTGACACTACCGTTTACACCCCCGCCCCCACCGACTGTGAGGTAAGGGTTGGACTTTGGGGGGTTTACAGTACCAGGGGTTCCCCAAGCGTCCCCCATCTAAGTACTGACCTGGCTCTACACTGCTTAACCGGTGATCGTCACGAGAACCGTGTTTCAGTGTGATTTGACCGTAAGCAGCTATGCACTATATATATATATATATATATAGTGAACATTGAAGTCAACACTGACACGACAGGTTGTTTCATGTTAGACACGGCCTGATGATTGTGTCGAGCATGAAACAGCCTGTTGCCTCTAAGTGTTGACTTCAATGTTCACTTTTATATTATTTACATATGCTCTATCTCTGATATTGAGCACTTTATCCCATAAATATAGCGTATCTTAAAACTATATTTCTTTATATTAGGTAACTCCATGAGATCGCTAAAAAAAGAGTATAGCATGATGAAAAAGATGCCAAACTTGACGAAAACAAAATTTTATCGTCTAAATGTTTGTTATTATTAAGAGGAAAGATCAAAGTATTTTGGGGGTATTTTTTTCCATTTTTTAATCGTTCCTAGCACGTCCGAAATTTTCGTTAAAAATCTAGTTTTTTTTGAGTCAGCAAAATTGACCATTTTTTTCCATTTTTTAAAAAAAAACTGGAAATCTCACTTTGAAATTCTTTTAAATATCAATTATCATTCTTTCAAAACTTATTTTAAGAAAATCAGAAATTATAATGTTTATTTAAAATATTTTGAACTTAACTTAGCTTTTGTGCCAAAAAGATGTAATTTGAAAATAAAACAAAGTAGGTCATAAACTTTCGTGTCTCTTGACAGGTGACATATTTACGAATTCGATGAGGCTAATTTGTTCTACGGAAGGAGAAAAGTGAAATAATTTACATTTAAGTGAACAAATTATTTACCTTGTTATTTTTAACGAAAACTTTCAGCGGTCTAATTTTTTTTTTTTTTTGTACTTAGCTTTCACCTTTACGTTTATGATGCTTTATGGAAAATATATTCTAAAGAAATTAAAATAAGACTGTTAAGAGTGACATTAAATTTCATATTTCCTAAGAAAGGTATCTAATTAATTTATAGGTACCTTTCTTACGAAATTTTATCAGAACTGTACATAAAATACTATAATTTTATGTACATTTATTACATTTTACTGTTATTTGTATTTGCATTCATTTTATTATTAATTTTGATATTTCATTTATGGAAAAAATGTCATAATTGAGATTAATATAAAAATAAGATCATATAAATTTCATAAGATGATACTGATACTTGTAGGTACCCTTCTCAGTTGAAATTGAAAAATCAAATTAACTTCTCCACACGTGTTTTGCAAAAGTAAAGGCCTTAACAGCGGAGAACAATGCTTAACTCAAATAACGCAACTTAATTATATTCTGGTTGGTCTTCCGTACTTTATAATTACAGCCCGGTTATAAGCACAAAATTACATTTCTTAATTACTGGGGATCTTCTGATTAGTCAAAATGATACAATTTACAACGTGCTAAAAAAGATCTATCTCATAAGGACACTTAGGAAAGCCAGTGCGGCTTTTAACTAATTTTATAATATTTTAACAACTTAGATGTAAAATCTATTATAATTAAAGAAATAACAAATAATTGTATTAAAAATTCATTTTTCATCGAAAAAAATTTTTTGCTTTCAGAAAATATTGTCCATATTCATAAAAAAAACTAAAAGCAAATAAAAGCATTTGAAATTAAATAATATCTTTGTTTTATTGAGTTTTGTATGTTACAATTCAGAGCTGATTTTCAGGTACTGTGGATCCAATTAAAAACAAAAAAATGATTTGCATTCCTCAAAGCCCTGTGCTTTTAATTATTGTAATCACTAAACCCGATGCGATCAAATTTCTAGCGTTTTCATGAAATTAATCATGGGGGTAATAAATATTTTAAAAAATATTTCTACCATGACTTTAATAAAAAAAACGTATTTATAATAATTTCAATCATCTGTGAATAGTTTCATTAACATCCGACAATTATTTCTATTTTTGTACGATTTTTCAAATTAATGTGTGTCATACCAAAAAAACGTGCTAAAAATTGTCTGTTATTTACTAGTTCCGCTGATACAAATAGAAACAAAATTTTTTTAATCAAAATTTAGAATGTTCTAAAAAGAAGGAAAAATTTTTAAAAATAATTAAAAAAAACTTTGGTCTTTCCTCTTAATAATAACATAAGCATTTAGACAATAAAATTTTGTTTTCGGCAAGGTTGGCATCTTTTTCATCAAGCTACGCTCTTTTTTTAGCAATTTCGTGGAGGTACCTACTTTATATGTATGTATGTGTGTATATATATATATATAGCATGCTTTGTACAAATGTTCCTCCCCAGGTTCATAATTTGCCAGTAAGAATATGCTTTCAAGCTGATATGATTTCTGATCTTTCATTAATCAGTTTATGCTGCTCAGGGTGTAGTGTATATATATATATATATATATATATATATATATATATATATATATATGGTCAGAGTATTTGTATAAAATGTGGAATTTTTTTTCCTTCTTATTTTTCCTCTTCGATAATGACAGCACTGACTGACCAGAAAGATGACACTAGAAATTTCTTCTGAAATATGGTATATTGGTCACTACGAGATTACTTCTTGTGAAAAACTTGGTAAGAAATTTTCTTTGTGAGCTTGCATTACCAAAAGTGTGTTTGCCTATTGCACATTGGAAAGTGTTGTGTAACTGACCTACTTCACTATTGATGAAGATATGATTGCAGGTAGTTCATCACGTATAGATCAAATACTATCATCAGTTTGTTACTACAGTACAGCACCTGTATGGTTTTCTCTTCCCTTTGTTTGTCCCCCCATCTCTTTAGTTTAGGTACATTTTAGATGAGTCACCGGTTTTTACCACTTCCTGTTAGTCCTTGGTTATCACTGGAACTGGCACAATAAACCAAACATGCAGTTCCTTCTTCTTCATCCTCTTGAAAGAACGTATAGCCAGAACTAGTTTCTTTGAGTATTTTCACCTGAAAGCCATGTTTTCCTCAGGGCTGCAATGTCCATATTGAGTCTAGCCAGTTCTTTAGAAAGTAGAGCTGGTAGAAATGGCTGTGAAGTTCCAGCCTGCTCCTGAAGAGTCATGAGCAGGAATCACAGAAAAATGTAGGTGGTGGACGCAGCCGAGTGAGGCCCTCCTGACAGCATGTCACAGATCCCTCTTCATGGTGATGGTTGGACTCTAAAGTCTCATTTCCCCAGAAGGCGGACTTGCAGCAACAGTATTCCATTTCTCGGGCTCAATGTAGGCTTATGTTAGAGAGGTTTTCAAGTGATCCTTGAAGTTTCTTGCACTGTCAAGTTCTCCCAACAGGATGATACATGGGAGTCACAGCCATTTCTGCCACCACCACCAAAGAGGAAAAAGGGAATAATGAGGGAGGATGATGATCCCGATGCTTGGATGCGTGTGGGTGCTAATGATACAGATCAAACAAAACTGGCTATAGCCAACAAGTATAAAATCAGAAAAGAAATTGGACCATCATCTATACAATAAGATTGCCAAAGCAAAATCTGGGTAAAAAAAAAAAAAAAAAAAAAAAGAAAGGTGGTGGGGACAAATTAAGGCAAACTAAGATAAATGAGTGCCCTTCCATCACATAAGCAATACCATGCTGCATTGGAGAAATTTAAAGTGAAACCAAAAATATAAGTCAAGGACCACGATGGTAATATCTTAACCAGTAAAGCTGATATACACGAATGCCGGGCTAAGTTTTATGAATGTCTTTACTCTGAGGATCCTACTTTGACAAGTATGAATCGTTCATCGATGGATGAAATTCAACCCATCTTGAGGTGTAGCATAGAATTTACTATCAAAAATCTGAAAGATGGCTAGAGTCATGGCCTTGACAACATTTGTCTATATTTTTGAGATGAGGTATTATGTAACCTATTCGGACTATTGTCCTCATCTTTTTTGCCATATTTATTACAGCGTTTTGGCTGTTGTATGCTCTGGTCTTCTTCAGGTGGTTGGAATGTCGAACGGAACCCTTTATTTCGCTCACTGGGGTAGACTGTTCTCGTTCCATGTGCTATGTTTAATTTATGTCGGTTATTAGTTATCTCCTGTTAATTCCTCTCTCCAAGTTCTCCACTGCCTTAACCGAGTATTGAACTCACACTCTTTGGGTCCTGTCACTAGATCTAACCAACGCCTTTATCCGCTGTGCCATGTGTCCTCAAGTATTCAGTTCGAAATTCCAACCTTTTGACAACATTTATTCTGAATACACAAAGGCGAGAGGAAAGCCATTGTTAAATGCCTTGTTGAATCTATTCAATCACATATTAGTTAGTTGCAAGGTGCCTCAAGCATTTAACTATGGTCTCCTTGTCCTTTTTATAAAAAGAATAGCTGTTTTTTTCTTAAATTGATTTTGTCCCAAGCAAGGCAGTAAGACCACTGAGACAGAAGGGGTTACTGGGTGTAGAATATTAGAAAACAAAAACATTACTCAAGAGCAAAAACAAAAGAGTAATCAAGAGGACAGTAGATAGCGATTGACAGCTGACTTGAATGTGGTAACTATCATCCAACAAGTCATGTCTATAAGCTCTTTATGAGTAACATTGCTGCATATACCATAACTGATCTGTATGACTTCCTAAATCGCAAGCTGCATACCAAGCGGGCGGATTAACCATCAAACAAATCCTCTCTTTGGAACAGATAATTGAAAAATCTATTGAATTCAGTAATTCCCTACACATTGCCTTTATAGATTTTACCAGAGATTTCTTGTCTGGAAACACCTTGACAAGAACCTGTATCAGCAAAAGGTACATCGATCTATTGAAGCTCACATATGAAAGCATACATAAAAATAGGTCTTTTAAGATCAGTTGATCACAAGTAACATAAAGGTTCCATACACTGACTATAAACCCCTAATAAATGACTTTATTTTGAAGAAATGGCAAGATGCTTGGAACAGCTGTCAAAACAACAAATTATTTCAAATCAAACCCTCTCTAAAAAAACAACTAACTGAACACAGAAAATCACGCAAAGAAGAAGTGGTTTTATCCCGTATTCGCATAGGTCACACTCGCATAACTCACTCCTTCCTACTA